GCACCCAACGAATTACACTAAAAGGTAAAAGGACCAACTCACCATGTCCTTCTGTCAGTAAATGCTCTAATCTAGTGAGAGAAAAGCCGAAGAATGTACCAAAACGAATTGGAAAATTAAAACAGCTCTTAGTAATATGTAAAATTAAGGTTTTGATTAAATTTCGTAGGTATTTTCCCAGATTAGTAACTACACATACTTATTTAACGAGGCAACATATATGGGTACAGAATTTGCCTACATTTAGGACCAGATTGGGCCACCATTGTTGGATTGCATTAGAGGAGGGACGAGCGAAGTCCATTCTATTACCTCCTCGGAGTTGCCCATTTAGCAGGTGTTGTGAGGGAATTTCCATTACCATCTGTTAGGAATGCATTAGTGGACGGCAAATGCGCGGTTCCATTATGAGAAATCTTAATCCTGCAAAAAGAAAGAGCGAACTGAATCGAGGAGGTACTCGGAGTAGCAGAGAGTTACCGAAAATGTCGCCAAAATTAAATGCATCTATCACTAAATGCACTACACAGTTAGCAGTGGGTTAAATAAATGTCTTCTTCTGAAGATGCTTTTCTACCTACTAATAAAGGAAAAAATATACGCCCAGGCTTAAGACATAAAAGTGGGATTAGAGATGCTACTTAACCAGTTTTAACTCAGTTTTACTTAACAGCGCAATAAAAGAGGGTAGATACCACTAAAATACACGTGCATAGGCAACAAACTACTCAATGTTGTCCAAAAATTAAATAAAGGAAGGGGTCAGATACTACTGAAATTGGTTTAGTAGGACAGCAGACTACTCTGTCATAATCAAAAATGGAAAAAAAGGAGAAGTGGCGGATACTACTGAAATGTGTTCACTAAGCTAAAAAACTACTCAGTTTTACCTACATATAAAAGAAATACGGCAGATCCAACTGATTTATGTGTACTGAACTATATGCATACCTACTTACCTTTTAAATAGTAATTGTAACCCAAAAGCCAAGAAAATCCCCAAGTTATAGGAAAAAGAAAGTTGGAAGCAAGAATTTACCTTAAGGACACGATATACCTAAATATTATCCAAAACACAGTACAAGATGTCAAGATTTTTACCACATTTTTGTTTCCGTAAAGTAGAAAAGTAGGAAGACATTCTGAATTGAATCAACCTCTGATCTGCTCCAACTTTGCCTACCAAAGGTAGTTTGCTCCTCTATTTCCAAAGTAAATTGCAAAAAGGAGGCAGAGGGAGAAAAAAGGAAACAAGCGACAAGTATGCAGATTTGGTAATTATCTGTACACAATGGTTGCCTGATCTCTGGGGAAGTTCTTTAGAATCTGGCTTTAGCACCTAAAATGGCTAAACATGCGCAATACAAAAAAGGGGGCTGAGTGGATGAACACGTGACTCCGGCCTTATTTTGTGTAAATACAATAGGAAAGAAGAAGGCCTTTCCAAAATGGAAAAACCACCTTTTAAAAGGTACCTAAAACAGACAAATTAATTCGTAACAGTTCGACGGCTCACTTTTTCCCCATTTTTCTTTGATTCATTGTCACATTTGGTTTCAAAAAAACAAGCCAAAAACCCCCTTAAAATGGATTACAAATTTGGGGAATTTTCGCGTCTGCTTCTCCGGAACTTCATTAGCAAGATGAAAGGACAGGTGCATCACTGGTTTTACAATAAATAAGAAGCAAAAAAAGAATACTTCCCTTTTTGAGGTATTCAACCGCCATGCATTGCTAAATTGTTTTCGAGAAAAAAAACGTCCCTTTAACGTCCATTGTAAGTTGGTGTTTTTGGCGAGCTGTTCCTCCGGGTAGCAACTTCTTCCAGGTGATTTTAAAGTAAAGTATGCTTTCCATTATGAAGGGGAAAAAATAAATTCGTGTAATTTTCGACTTTTCTCATTAAAATGACCGGTTTTTCTCACTTATGTTGATTCATTTAGTACTCTCTGCTACTTCTTTGCAGCTTTATTCGGGTACCGAGGCCACAGAGCCAATAGCATTTGGAGATGGTGGTGCATGCCATAGTAGAAGGCACAGGCCAGAAGCAGGATT